CTGAGAGCAAAATAAAGGATGTCAGTAATGGCCGATATTCTCGCATGTGGCATAGCTCACTCGATAACCGAGATCCAAAGCGTAGGTATCGTAACTTATAAGTACGGTTTTAATACGAGGCCTGCATGAAGTGTACTAGAGAAAACCCAAAAAGGAGGTCTAACCTTCAAGAATTTCGGAAGGCTTTACCCATTAGCAGTTAAGTAGTATTTGTCCTGGTAAGATGGTCAAAACGTTATAATTCAGACAAAATCTACACCTTTAACAAGTTTTCAGTCTCTTTCCAACGACATATTGTCTTTTCTATCACAATATATGAAAATAAGTAGCGAAAACGTTCGCGGGGTATGTTAAACAGCAACCTTTTAGTCAATATTTTTACTTTTTAGTTTAGTAAAGAACAGCTTACTTCTGTATACATGCTACTTCCATTCGCGGAACTATCAATGCATTTATTTTGTGCATTCCTCTATGAGAAAGCGCGTATGCGTAAAGAATTCCAAATGGTTTCCAAACTTCGAAAAACGGTTCAACTCCTTTTAAGAATTATTCCCTTGATGTTAATAAGTCCGACGAGATCTATAGATCTCGAGTATAGTGGAGCAATTCGCTTAAAGAAACCATTTCCGCTTAAGATCAAAAATAGACAACAGCGAAACCTCCTTTAAAAGGTGAAGCGGGGATAATGAAAGGCCATTGGTGAGACGTAAGAGCTAGCAGGACACGCAGCAGTAGCACCTCCAGACATATTCAGTTGCCTCAACAACCACCACCGCCACCGCCATCACCACAACCAGTACCACAAGCACCACCATACTCCAGATTACCGTAAATATTACCACTACTACTATTACTACTGCCACTCACAAGCATTAGACCACCATCATTATTCAGCGCACAGGCCTCACATGGGAAGGGAAGGCGACAAAATAACCTCATAAAGGCACTGCATTAACCGGGACCGAAAGTCAGTAATTCAACGGTCCGCAGCTAATTACCTTTCCCGGTTGCCAGAACCGCTTACGCTGATAGGATAACTGACCCCAATTGGTTTCTCTCCGCCCTTCACAACCGTACGATCTTTTCTATCATACCGCATATTTTACTTAGTTGCATAATCATATAAAGGTAAAGGCCCGAAGAGAATTTATCGAAAACAAACGTAGGCTGGCCAATTTATCTTTAAAATAATAAAAAGGCATCAGAAAGTTTAAATAAAATACTTTTGCGTACGAGCAGTTTAAGATCAGCTCATCGAGACAAGTGATGACGGTATTTGCGAGGTCTTGCTCTTCCATATCAACTTTCAGGCTCATCTCAATACCCTCTATGCCGTATTCCTAAATCGGAAAAATAAAACATTAAAATTACACTAAGGGTGTACTTTTGACAAAACAGTAGGTGTAATTTATAGCACGTAATAAACAGCCTAACATTAAAGAACATTCACAAGAGAGGTTAAGCAAACAAAAAGCAATTCTTACCAGGTCGTCGTAAATGCGTGAAATCATATTCACTGCGTAGAGTCGATAAGAAATATCTTCCCACTGCGAGTCCACCATAACGCAGGGCTTAGAGTCACCCCATGGCAAGAAATTGTAGTAGCAGCCATCAAAAACTGCATTTGTTGGACATGTGGTTGAAGCAGAAGGACCGATAGATTCATCCAGGGTGTTACCGAAGTTGCCGATACTTACTTCGAAGGAGACGGGTGCGTCGGTACAATCGACCATATTGGCCTGATAGAAGGCTGCGTGCAGCATGAACTTCCGCCGCCTCATGAATTTCTGAGAACAGAAAAAACCGGGATACAACCCGTCCACAGTTTACACAGCCTCCTGAAATACATGTGAAAGCTGCTACCCTAAAAATAATGACAACTGTGATTTTTTCTATCGCTTGCAGTATACATTACTTTAAAATTCCACAAGTTTGCCTCGTCATCTTATAAAAGGGCATGGCTTCAGCATAGTGTAGCATATATAGTTGGTTGAATTACCTGGACGCGTTGTTTGTTGTCCTCACTGATTGGCACAATTCCGCTTTCTTGAGGATCGTCTGTGAGTTGAGTGGACAACTCGCAGAAAACGCGGCCTCGATAGGCTGCTCCTTCACCTTTTCCGAGATTTAGCGCCTCATATTTGTCTCCGAGGGTCGAAAACTCGCGTGGGGACCCGTATAAGTTGACAAATGTGGGACCAAATGTTGGCAGATAACCTGAAATGTCAGGTAGTAAATATTATTCCCTCAACAAATCAGTTATAAATAACTAGGGTTTCTTGTGATCTCTTGTGAAGAAATACTGGATTCTTACACTTTCCGAGTTTCCGACAGGATCTACCGAGGGGTAATCAATTGTTGCAATATGCCCCTTTTGCAGTTGTGGTATTATTTTTATTCCTAAGGGGGTATAACCCTTAGGAAAGCAGTAAGCGCTTTCCAGCAAAATATAAATATAGCCGTTGAAATGCATTTCAGTTGAGGACGTACTTCATTGGAAATACATTAATAACTTGATCAGGTTATAGTGTTCAGTACGCATAAAAGCCGCACCTTAGAGGTCTAAGTGGCATTCACTATCATAATTAGTGAAAGGTGTTATTTCCTTAAAAATGCAACGCATCTATTCTTAACTTCACTGATAGGGGAAACCTCTTGAGAAAGCCTTTTTGGTCATACTTTTATACTGTCTATAGTAAGATCGAAGAAACAAGGATGTCCTTCGCAATTTTACTTAAATTTAAGAAATATTTCTGGACAGTCAAAATAGTCAGATGAAAACTTATAACTAATACATTTAAAACACTCTGTAGAAGATAGTCAGACTTATGAAGTGACATCCATTCTGATGTGATATGATGAAAGGAGATGGCTCGTTGGATAATAGGGATTTCCGTAGGCTGGTGCTATCAGTTTGAAAATTTACGAGTAAACCTCTATTTTCCGACGGGT